ATACAGCTAAACAGTCCTATGCTATCACCATAAATAGCTAAATATGAGATAAATGTCCTATGTCAAAAACGCAGGCCCCACAGCCACCTCTTCTGTAGAACCAACCCCACCGCGCCTCATGATTACACATATCGCCCATGTAGTGCCACAAGGTACACTTGTTGTTGGTATCTCTGGGGCATGCTTCAACATGGTCATGCACGAGTCACTGGCAGACCAGGACTGGCAAGTTTGTCATTCTCCGATGTTACTGAGCCGTTGTACGACATTTGAAGGATGCATCACGCATCAACAACGAAGATCAGGAGCCTATATGATGGAAAGTCGAGCCCACACGCTATGTTTTGTCTTCTGCTTGTGCCTGACACCAACCCTGAATCCCTATAGCGCTCCCAGCAATAGATTCGCCCGTTTCCAACTGAGCCCTAACCCTACATGAGCTACGGACTAAAGTTAGGCTGGGGAAGAACCTTTAGTAGGGGCATTTAGGGAATATATTATAACTTTGGTCCAGAGCTCACATAACATAGTAGCTTCCATGCACGTTTCCAATGCCCCAGTCCCACCGAACCATGAGTAGATTCCTCCTTTCCCCCTGTAACCCCCAAACCCCTAGACCTTAAAACCCACGTAGTAATTGCCATTTTAGTTTCCCCTAAATTGCCCCTTTGTTTCCCCATGCTCTACCGTTGTCGCGCCGAGGCCCTAGCGAGGCTTCATCGTCTTCTGAAACCAAGGCAGCTTGCGGGTCAAGGGCATTGGGGTAATATTAGGGTTTAGGGTCATATTGGGGTTGTATTGGGGCTACATAGGGGTATGTATAGGAGTTATATTGGGGTTATATTGGGGCTATACAGGGCACATATATATATATATACATGTGTATATATATACTAGCGTTATTTATAGGGGTTATATAGGGTATATATAGGGGTTATACAGGGTATATATTGGGGTCATATAGGGTTGTATTGGGTAAAGGGCTTGGGGTTCAGAGTTTTTGGGAACAAAAAGCAACGACCTCATCATGTTACCCAATCTGACCCCAAATGGTGGTCTGAAAAAAAGCCACTTTGCCGCCAAAACCGGGAGGCTTATCTCAAAGCCCAGCCTTCATCGGCCAAGGTTCCGTAAGTACGTAGGATGTGTGGATGTGGAATGTCCTGCAGGCGTGCTGACGGCACAGGTTGAGTGCACATGAGGTCCCAAACTTCGCCAACCCATGCTTCAGGACCATATCTGTTGAGAGGAGGGCCCGTTTCGTGCTATGTTTTTGCTTCGATCTTCGACTAACTGACTAACTCCATGAAGCTCAACGCTGGTTTGGAAGTTTGTTGCACCCCAGAACCGCATTACTATATTCTCCTATAATAATATATTGTAATATACTATACTATAATACGCTATAGTATACTGTAATATACTATTTGGCATCCTCTGAGGAAACATCTGGCCGGAAGACAGTCAGAGGTAATGTGCCCTGGCAGCAACTGACAAATTGTTTGCTTTGGCGTCATAGTCCGGCGGACTGAATATGTTAGGCACCTAGTGCTGCTTTTCTCGCTGGTGTGATAGTATGCTGAAGACAAACACGCTCGGCTTTCGGTCATTGACTTTCAGTTGGATGAGGATTAGTGACTCACAGCCCCAGTCAAGCCAGCTTGTTTGGCTAATTAGACCACGAGACCAAGGACAAGAAGCCCACGCTTTTCAGCACCTTCACGGCGCATGACTTTCAATTGAGGCCAGCCAGCTTTACAGTCTTCTTGTTAGTTTCAAGTTGTGGCTTGGAGCAGTTGAGAGGCTACCGGCTGCGGGGTACATAACTTACAGGCAGGATTGCAGACCGCCTAGAGTGAAGTCCATGTTGTCGCGGGAACCAACGGCCCTAGGCTTGGCTCAAAGTTTGGTGGACAGTTTGTTAGATCGAGATCCAAGGCAGTTGCCTAGGCTTTTGGAATGTCTATGCAGAGAGCATGTTGGACCCCTTTGTTTGAAACCTTCCCAGCGTTCTATTGCTGAATCCTTCCAAAATTCTGGTGGCCTAGACTGGGGGGGAAGGGGTAAGGGCAAAGTCAGAGAGCCACCTTGATCGCCCCCGCAGCCTTCATCAGTCTCCCCTGGCCGAAGCCAAAGAGTGCCTTCTTGCTTCAAGTAACCCATGTCTCCTGACTGAATCCAATGGTCGGGTGTTGGTGGTGGAAGAGGGTGATCATTTCAGCACCTCCCAGCTTGAGAGAGCTCAAGGTGCAACAATCTTGTGGAGCATGAGTTCAGTGAAAGAGGAGCAAGAACAGGTTGAGCTTGCCTAGTCGTAGCAGCAAGAATCAGTTTGGAGTACTGAGAGCTCGGGTAACACTCAGTGACCAAGAAATACAAGAATGCTGGTTGGCCGGCCTGAGTATTTGTAAATGTCACCCGCAACAATCCTAGAAGTATCCTATCATATTTTGGCACTATAGAGCCAACTCTGGACAGGAAAATTGCTTCCAGTGCCAAGGTAATGTTGTTTTTCCCCACCCTCACAGTGG